TTTTTTTTTATGTGCTTGTGTTAGTAAGAAAAACATTGACAAAGCATACATGCTTAATTGATTAAAATGATTCCCTGAAATAGAAGGGAAAAGTAAAGGGGGAGAGGATCGTTAATTGTTTTTACGTCTTTGTGTTGTTTGATTTGAGCAAGACAATCTAGCCAAGTTTAAAAAATAGTAATCTATGCATTGGAAGGTGCAATAAACACTAATGTTAAAATTATTTTTTCTTCTTTGATTTACTTTTTAGATTTTCTTTAATGTGTTTATATTATTTTAATAATGAAATAATAAATATATCCAAATTAAAAAACAGAAAATTAAAATAGTAAATTTTAGTTGATTCAAAAAATAGGAACACAAGTTGAATGGCATTAAGTTTCTACAGATTAGTATATTTGAAAGTAGACTTTGGTTGTTGTTGAATATATAAATGATTAATATCAACTAAAAAGGAAACTACAATATTAGAAAATTCCCAAAAAAAGAAAAGAAAAAGTATAGATTTGTTTTTCCATATACTTAGAATTTCTATTATAAAACTACAATTTATTAAAACAGTAGGCCAAGAATAAGTAGTCAGATCAATGAGACAAATGGAGAGTCTAGTAACATACCTAAGTTTATATAGAATTTAGTATAAGATAACAGATAATTCAAACAATTTTACAAAAAAGATGGATTATTTAATAAATAGTTTTGGGAAAATTGGTTATCCATTAGATTAAAAAAAGCTGGATCTCAATTTTAACCCCTTTTATTAACAACAAATTCTATTGTAGATGATTAAATAAAACCATAAAAGGCCAACTAACAAACAAAAGGCAAATAACACACATACATCTAAAATATAAAACAACAATTAAAATAATGAGTTCTAAGGGATTTTTTAAAGAGTGCCATAAATAGTGACTATCAGGGAAATATTTCAGTTTGATTAAATACACACTTTAAAACCTTATTCATGATAGTGTGAAAAATTAAAAATCAGCATTTGAAAATGTTCACAACATATATTTATATATATATATGGTTAGTATTCTTAATATAATAAAGATTACCAAATCAGATATAGCGGCTGGAGGGCATAAACACAATTAGTAAAGAAGAAATACAAATATATTGAATTTCACAGCTATAAAAATGCAAATAAATATAACAAAGTATCATTTTTTTCCTCCTCAGCTTGCTAAGGATGTAACAACAAAAAAAACCTTATATATATCTGGAGTTGTTGAGGAAATGGAGAAATGGGCATTCATTCACTTATGGTGAGAGTATAAACAGGAACAATGTTTCTGGAGAACACGTTAACAAATTATCAAAATTATAAATGTAGGTGCTCTTTACAGAAGTTCTATTCTAGAAATGCATCTGGAGGAAAAATTCAAAGTATGTATGAAGATGTTCACCTCAGTGTTGCTTATAATATAGAAAAGAACTGAAGCAACTGAACATCTCTAGTTAGGGGACTGATATATTTTTTAAATGTCACATAATGTATAGGAATCTGTGTAGCAAGTATAAAGAATGAGGCAGAG